CTATCAGTGTTTTCTAGAATCACCTCCCAAATAAACTACTTGAACCTGAATTTTTATCTCAGGGTCTTCGTCTGGGCTGGGGAACACGAACCAAGACAATATAAGGTTTTTTCCCCCCTTATCTAGTCAATTACCTGATCATTCATGCATTTTTTCCCATTTTGATATTGGAGTCAGAATTATCTATATTAAGAGGGAAAAGATATTTGTGAAGGGCAACCTGATAGATCACAACCCAGGAGTTTAATACGTAATTAGTTACCACCAAATTGTCTTAATAAGCAAGTTAAGATTTAAAGTATTACAAGTTATCAATAATAATTATTATATTCAAAGTTAATTACCCTCTCTTTATCTTAAATGTGCCATATTGCGCTAAAGTTTTTCTTGGAGGTATAAATGAACTAAAATATAGGAAAAGGGAAAAAACTAGCAAACTCTGGTGAGGAGAGTATTTTAGCCAAGGTGTGCTAAATGTGTTAATTGAGTGCTATAAGAAAAACGACATTCAACAACATAAATATGCTCAAAATAGCAGATTGCCATAAATTTTAGGGAGTGATTAGGGCTCAGTAGGAAGCCTGTTGAGAAGGTTCAGAATGGAGAGACATTTTGGGCCACATGACATTTCCTAGTATCTAAAATCAATACGTTCTTAATTAAAATACCAATCTCCCAAGATGAGTCTGAAAGACAGTAAACAACGTTAAGCTAAACTGGGTCAGAGCCCAGAACATCGGCTAGACTAGAAGTGCAAGCAGCTAGGCAAAAAAACCAAACCAAAACAAAACAAAAAGAAGAACTTTCAAAAGCAATTAACTGTTTGGAATGGAGGGGAAGGGACAGGGGAGGGGATGCAGAAAACAAAAGAAAATTACCAGTTTGCATCTTGCTTTGGCCCAGGAATCAGATAGCATCACTCCAGCAAAATCTGTCTAGGGGCCATTCTTCCAGCTGCTCACTTTAAACTAAGCCTTTGCAAAGGTAAAACAAGGACAGTCTAGACAACCTAACTTGCCTTGTATGGACGATGAAAGTTTTTAAAGAGGACACACAGAACATAAATCCACAAGAGTCAAGTTTAAAAGCCTGTTCAGGGCTGTGACTGCCCCCAACTTACACACTATCTCCAGAGAAGTTAAATGAAAAAAATGTGTGACTCGGTCATGTTAACATATTTTGTTAGGACAGATTATAATGTTTTTCTGAACTTACAAGATACATTAAGGCTATGTGTCTATATATAGCAAACATTCAGAAGAAATGTAGAAATTTCTGTCCAGATTAAAGTCAGTGCAAATGATGGCTGTTGGATCTCAAATCTGATGTGTGAAATACAATAAAAAATAAATGCTCAATAATACATCAGCTCTGTGCTAATCAGATTCAAAGAACTGAGTCTAACTGGTCGGGAAGAGATTCCTCTGAACATTTCTGTTTCAAACTAAAGATTTGTTTACTTAAATAAATATATTTTTATTTTTATTTATTTATTTTATTTACATTTATTAGGTGTTCATCTAACCATTGTCACTAAACAAAGACAATTTATTATATTGCCAGGCTCAATATAGACTGAATTCTCTAAGGCAGTCAGCAGCCATCAATTAAATAAGCAAGCATAGAGATGGCCTTGGGCAAACTCCATTACAGCACAATACCACTTCATATTAGTCAGAATAGACTTGGTTTTTCTGTGATAACAAACCACTCCCAGATCTCAGGGGATTAACCCAACACAAGTTTATTTCTTGCTCACACTACATGCTCCATGTGAACCAGCAGAAACTATTGCACCCAGTCACTAAAGGACTTAGGCAGATTAAGCTCCATCAGCTTTTAGCCGTACCTTCTGGAACACGTGGCCAGGAAGAGGCCATGGAAGGAAACACAGAGACTGGAAAATCCCACATATGTGACTTCTGCTCATATTTCGTTAGCCAGAATTAATCCCATGGTTCCTGCTAACACATCGAGGTTGAGAAGTGCTATGTCAGTTCTGCCTGGAAGATGAAGAGAACTGGATATTGGAGTAATTTCTACCTCACACCTCAATGACCTGGAACTTTGGATGATTTCCTAGCACAATGTAAGGATAGAAACAGACACTGAGAGGCAAAGCTAAAGACATAACAAAAGGCATGAGTCATGGCTCAGAGGTTCTAAGCCAAGGCCAAGAGTCAATGAGTAAGGAGATTCAGAGAGCTATAAGCAAAGGAGGGAGCAAGCATCAAAATCCTGAGAATGTCTTGAAGTGGCAAAGGCCAACCTGTCATAAAGCTTTGTTAATTAACTTCATTTTGACACAAAGTAACATCTTTCTCAGGGCATCTTAATATGTCACTTGATATCTGACATCACCCCACCTGCATTTCTCAAAGTATGGTCCTTGCATCATCAGGAACAGATATATGAGGGGCTTCACAGAAATACAGATCCCTATGACCCACTCTAAAGCTTTGGATTAAAATCTCTGATGATTTTAGGTCCAGGAATCTGCTTTTAAACAGGTATCCCTTCAGTAATTCTAATGCATTCTAAACTTTTGGAATCTTTATTCTAGACTTCTACCAGAATCCAGGGCAGGTCTGAGACCTGAGCTGTGTTTGGGCCCTGGGAGAATGCCTCCACTTGTCCTAGTCACCAGGTAGAGCCTGCATATTACCTGAAGGCATTTGATAAAGTCCAGACTGTGCATTTAGGCTAAATGGGGACTTTCCTGGGTGAGGAAATTTCGGGAGCATGGAAACTAGGTTGATTTTGCGATTCCTTTGGGAAAGACTGGTTGAACACAGAGTAGCTTCAAGGATAACAGAATTTGTAGGTAGATTTGCCAACAGATTGACAATTATGGGGATGGAGAAGAGCCCAGACTTTCTGTTGTTGAGGTTTTGGAAATGGTCAGGTGGAGGAAATGAGGACCTTGGGATTTCCCAGGCATATGCTACAAGGGCTGCTCCTTGAACAGGCTGTGCTGGGCAGAGAGGGGAAAGCTGGTAAATTCTGTACCTTCTTTGCTGAGATTGGGAGGAGGAAGGTGCAAAATGCTGTTATGGTTATTAGGAACTATGAGATAATAGAAAATATATACATTGGTCTCTGCCCTCAGTTCCTGGCACAGAGTTCCTAAATCCCTTGGAATTTCCTGGTGGTAGCAGTGTCTTTTGTTCCAATGAGGTGACTCTTGGTGGGTTCCTGGATGGAGGCTAGTCACCAGAAAGACCAAGCCATGATTAGAAGCTTGGAATTTTCAGCCCCACCCCCATTTCTCCAGAGAGGGGAGAGGGGCTGAAAATGGAATTAATGATCTAACATGCCTACACGGAAGAAGCCTTCATAAAAATCCCACTACTTGGGGGTTTGGCAAGCTTCCAGGTTGGTGAACATGTGGAAGTGCTGAGAGAGTGGTGTGCCCAGAGAGGGCATGTCAGCTCTGCATTTCTTCCCACATACCTTGTCCTACCACCTCTTCCATCCAGATGTTCATCTGTATCCTTTATCATGTCATTTTATAACAAACTGGTAAATAGCAAGTAAACTCTTTTCCTGAGTTCTGTGAGCTGCTCTAGCAAATTAACCAAACCTGAGGAGGGGCTCTTGGGAACCTCCAATTTATAGTTGATTTGTCAGATGCACAGGTGACAAGCTGGACTTGCAACTGGCATCTGAAGGGGGTGGGGCAGTCTTGTGGGACTGAGCCCTTAATCTGTGGGATCTGTTGCTGTCTCCATGTAGACACTTTCAGAATTGACTTGAATTATAGGACACCCAGCTAGTGTTGAAGAATTGCTTGGTGTGGGGGAAAAAACCTACACATCTTTTGTCTGAAGTGTTGTGAGTGTGGTAGTAGTGTGAGAGTAAAGGAGAAGTATAGGAAGAAGACTGACTTTTTCCTAACACGGAAACTTTTTTTAAATAAAAAGAAAAATGGGGGTCGGCCCTGTGGCCGAGTGGTTAAGTTCGCGCACTCTGCTTCAGCAGCCCAGGGTTTCGCCGATTCGAATCCTGGGCACAGACGTGGCACTGCTCATCATGCCATGCTGAGGCGGCATCCCACATGCCACAACTAGAAGGACTCACAACTAAAAATACACAACTATGTACCGGGGGCCTTTGGGAAAAAAAGGAAAAATAAAAATCTTAAAAAAAAATTTTTTAAAGAAAAAGAAAAATACACACCAGGTAATTATAAAATAGAGCTACTTATATAGTTTATGGGAGGGAGTAGTGAAAGTAAATGGACACACCAGAAAGTTTTAAAACTTCCACAACCTAAGATTAATGGTGACTCGTGGGCTAATATTCTCTGCTCTGAAATATTGAGAGGAAATCTGATACCCAAACAATATGTAACTATGAATCTTGGGTTGAAAAATAAGAACATAAAAAAAAAGAATGATGGAATGTATTATCTGGAGGAGATTTCCAAAATGTAAAATATCTTTTCATAAAGAATTGTTTTACTGTCTCACAAGAAATTATTTTGCTTGAATGGAAGTATTTATTACCTGCGGAATAAACAAGCCCTCTGTGAGCTCTTCAAACCTATAATCAGGAAGCAAGCTATTTTTGGAAGTATAACATCATGGCCTACACAATATGGGGCCTAGGGTCAACATCAGAGGTCCAGGAGTGGGTAAGAAGGTCAGACAATGATGTAAGAACCAGAGACAAGGTACTGAGCAAAGTGGCTCTGGGTAAAGAAAATGATGGAATGGCATACCAAATATCTGCAAACGATATTATTCTTTAGGGTAATCAATATTAGCAGCTATTGATATGCACCCCCTCAAGTCTTAGTGGCTTAACAATAAACATTTCTTTTTTGTTTGTTTGTTTGTCTTATTTTGTTTCAGTTTTATTCAGGTGTAACTGACAAATAAAATTGTAAGCTATTTAAAGTGTACATCGTAGTGATTTGATGTACATATACGTAGTGAAATAATTCCCACCATCTAGTTAAAAAATTTCTCTCTTTCTCTCCTCCCTGCCCAATACAGATTGGGCAGTTCTCCTTAGAGGCTGTCCTCAAGACAGTGACTCAGGATCTGGGCTGCTTCTGTATTACGGCTCTGCCATCTCCTAGTGCCTCCATGGACTCCTCTGCTTGGTCATCACTCAGCCATCAAGTAAAGAGAGAGAGAGCAAGGAGGATCACCCAGGATGTTTCATAGACAAGTCTGGAAGTGGTGTACATTACTTCCCTCCACATGCCATTGCCCAGAACATGGTCAACTAACACCAGCCTAACAGCAAGCAGGACTGGGACACGAGTCTTATCCAGAAAGAGGAAGTGGAATTGGTGAGCATCTAGGCAATCTCTGCCACATGACGACTACTAACCCATAATCTGCCTCTGTTTTAGTTAAAATCATACAATTTCCTAAAGTTCTTTAAGCATGTTTTACAGTGTAGTTCGTAAACTATATTATTAAAAACTGTGGTAAATATTTGAACGTCATTATTGGAATAGCTAAGATTCTCGAGGAAATTTTTGGAAATGCAAGACTCTCTGGTAATGTGTGAATTGAAAAATAAGCATTCAAAGATCAAAGTGGCTAAGTTTAGCAATTCCATACTGGAATTTGGATGGTAGCTAAGCCCTCATTCTTATAATATGCCTTGTGAGCCCATTTTCAAAAGGAGTATATGATAGAGAACAACATGAAGAATGTTTGAGTTGTAAATTCCAAATCTTATTTATGAACTTTTAACACATTTATAATCCCAGATCCATTCTAATACTGTATCTCTCTGCACACTCATGGCAGAGCCAGTAGAAAATCTGTTGATTAATGACAGCTAGTTTTGAGCATTTCTCATGTACCCCCTCCTCACTTCACATACACTTCATCATCATGCCTTTTTTTTTCAGATTCTTATTTTTTAACCCAAAAATCATGGTCCGCATTTTGTTTAAATATCAGCATTTCCTCTCAGTCTTCTAGAGCAAGGAATTTCAACCCATGATTCACCATTAATTTTTGTGAGTTGTAGAAGTTTCAAAACTTTCTGGTGTGTCCATTTTGCTTTTAACTCTCTCCCTCCTTCTTTCTCTTCTGTCTTATAGACTATGTAATAGCTCTGTTTTATAATTGCCCAACATATACTTTTCTCTTTATTTAAAAAAATTTTCCAATAGCCATGGCAGCATTTTAAAGTTTACACTGAGGGAGGCTATCTAAATATGAAACAGATGAATAAGTATATCTTGGGCAAAATAACTTACAGATATGAAAAGAAAATTAGAGGGGCATATGTTTGTGGTTGAGAAAGTATGTCTGTTCAAATGTATGGGAGAGAATTAGCATGGAGAAAATCCCGCTGTACAGAAGGGGATTGTCTGGGGTTGCATGAGGAGCTGAGAATTCTGGGATGACCCTCAAGCTCTTTGGCTGACAAAGTATCCTCAACTAGATGCCTGGAGTTGGGAACAATTGATGCCAGGTGGGTAAAAGAGAAAGTGGATTCCATTTACGTTACCACCTCATTTACTTCTGGGGCAAGACAGACAAATAATAAAATATATATGTATCTGCATTAAATGACCATCACGTTTCATTTGTTTTCAAAGCTGTCTATGGATATTCACACTGAAAACATTTCAAAATCTAAGTGAGAGCAGCCCTTTGTTAATGTAAACAATAGATTAGAACCAGTGTAGAAACTATTAATATTACCATGTTTCAAACAGCAAGCAGAAAGGAAAACTATGAAAAGAAAAAAGAATAGTTATAGAGGACCCCAACCATGAGATCTTATATTAAAGTGAAAGACAGTCCTACTATTTTGAGTCAAAAATATTGTTACTTACAAAGCTTTGGTCAATAACAGCCTTTCACATAAAGCATCATTTTTGTTTTTCTCTGTGAACGTTTTTCATTTTACATTTGTCATGTAATCCATTGTATTAATAGTTGTTTAAAAGCTGATTTACTTTTCTCCTAAAACAGACTCACTTTTGTGCACCATCTTCATGCAAATGGTGGAGCCCTCCTCAGCTGGAACTGCCCTCAATAAGTCATCATGTGGACTTTGACCTCTGACCACATTTGGAAAGTGACCAAATCAAGACAGAAAAATCTAACTTGCCAAAGACCACATAGGAAGTTCTTGGCAAACTCAGATGAGAAAACAGAGTTCATGAACTTCAAGAGCCAACATTTTTAACCACTGCCTCTGTTCCTTGTTTTGGGAACCCTTTTCCAATAAAAAAAAAAAAGTAGAAAATTCTAGAATTTTCTTGCTTTTTTTCCATGACCAATTTAATGGAGTGGTGGAAAGAGCTCTGCACTAGGAGTTAGAGACTTAGACTCTTTAAAAAAAACAAAAACAACTTTGTACAGTGCAACATTTCAATGAATCCTTTGTCCCATCGCTCAGCTTCAAGAATCTTAAACTCATAGCCTATCTTATTTCAACTATATCCCACTGAATTCCTTCCTCTCATGTAATTTTGAAGCAAATCCCAGACATCATACCATTTCATCCATAAATATTTCAGTATGTATCTCTAAAAGATGTCTTTTTTTAAAAAACATAACCACAATACCACTATCATACCTAAAGCATTTGATAATAATTATTTAATACAATAAAATATACAATCTATATTCAACATTCCCACTATCTCATAAATATAATAATTTTAACAGTTTGTTTGAATCAAGATCCAAATAAAGTCCACTCATTGTGATTCACTATATGTCTGTAGGTCTTTTAAAAATTTCTAGGCTTTCTCTCCATATCTTTTTTTGATTTGTAACTTATTTATTGAAGAAACCAGGTCATTTGTCCTGGAGGCACATATTAAATTTTGTTGATGGCAACCCTGTGGTATTATTTAACATGTTCCTCAATTCTCTGGTTTTAAATTGGTAGTTGAATCAACAGGTCTGAAAAGATTCAAATTTGGCTGCCTTTGGCAAGAGTCTTTGATAGATGGGGTGTGTTTTCATCAGGAGGCGATAATGTCCGTTTATCTCCTGTTTTATCATGTTAGCACATGTTGGTGCTCAAGGTCTAGGTTCATTAATTCATTAAGGATTGTAGAATAATGATATTATAATTCTGTTAGTCTGTCTTCATTCCTTAGCCAGAATAAAAAGAAAGTTTCTCTGGTTTACTATATAGCTCCCCAGAAGTACAATTCATAAAGCAAAGGCAGGATAAGTGCTTAATTCTTTCCTCTTTTTCTTTTTTTTTTTTTTTGGTGAAGATTGGCTCTGAACTAACATTTATTTCCAATCTTCCTCTTTTTGCTTGAAGAAGATTGTCGCTGAGCTAACGTCTGTACCAGTCTTCCTCTATTTTGCATGTGGGACAGCACCACAGGATGGCTGATGAGTGGTGTGTAGGTCCTCCCAGGATCTGAACCCATGAACCCCAAGCCACCTGAAGTGGAGTGCACAAACTTAACCACTACGCCACTGGGCTGGCCCCTTAAGTCTTTCTTTTTACTATTAATTTTCAAAATAATGAATTGGTTTACTAGTATCATACAATGATGACTAACTAGTTGTTATTTTTTAGTATCATTATGAACTCATAGGAGTTTATAGTTCACTAGAGGAAGTAGATGTACATTGACAATTATAATACAACACGATTTTGTGTTATAGTAAAAGTAAGTAAACACTTCTATGGGCATCCAGAAGTGAGAGTATCTAACTCTGCTTTATGGGGTATGACAAAGGCCTCAAAAAGGAGACAGTACTTGAGTTGAGTGCTGAGAGATGGAGGTCACCAGGCACAGAAAATCAAGAATTTGTTCTCCCATGACTAATAAAACATTAGCTGAGTCCACTTCTGCAAATGGCTCCAAGCTTTTTTTTTTTTTTTTTTTTGCTGAGGAAGATTCACTCTGAGCTAGCATCCACTGCCAGTCTTCCTCTTTTTGTATGTGAGCTGCTGACAGATGAGTGGTGTATGCACATGCCTGGGAACCGAACCTGGGCTGCCAAAGCGGCGCATACCAAACTACACCACTAGGCCATCGGGGCTTGCCCCAGTTCCAAGCTTTTTATCTAGCACAGCTGATGAGGTGGAAGGAAATGAATGAAATTCACTAAGTCAGGATATAAAACGGGTAAGGAGGAAGAGTCATGTGGTGGGATGGGAACTGTAGGGATGGGATGAAGAAATCAGCTCTTATATGTTGAGTTTGTGATGCCTTTGGGATATCCAGGTAGAAATGTTTGGCAGACAGCTGGAAATAAGGTATAAAGCACAGGAAAACCAGCTGTCCAGACAGATCAATTTAAGATTAACCAGCATGTAACAGTGAAGTCCTGCAAGTGGGGTGAGATCACTCAAGGAGGGTAGAGTAAGAAGAAAAGGGGCACTAAGAAGAATCTACCTCCATATTTAAGGAGTCTGCAGCGGAAGACAAATCTACAAGGGATCCTGAAAAGGAGCAGAGAAGTAGGAAATAGCCTGTAAGCCAAAGGAGGGGACAGTTCGAGAAAACACAGAGAGGTCAGGGAAAATATCAACTGAAAAGTAAACCACTGGGCTTTCCAATTAGGTGGCCACTAGCGATCTCACCAAAGGCCGTTTCATGGATTGGTGAGGATAGAAGCTACATTTCAACGCATGCACAGTGCATAAGAGGGGAGGAAATAGAGACAGAAATGAAATTACTGTTTTCAAAAAGTTTGGTAGGGTCTGACAGTGTGAAAACTCATTATTCTAGATTGCGTCCCATATGTAACATAAAATCAACTAATCAATAAATATTTATTGTAAGCTTATTACGTATAAGCCATTGTGCCAAAGTATTACTAGTGTAAAAAAGATATTTATGGCATAGTCCTTGTTGTAAAGGATACAATTGTGAAGGAGAAAGTACGCAAATTCATAAATGCATGTTTAAAAAGAAAGTTCTTCAGAAACCCTAAGAAATCAAACTAAATAAAGCATTTTTTAAATATGTTGGCCTTCATTATCTCTTTAAAATTGTACAAAGATTGCATGTTCATGATTCTAAAAAGCAAGGAAAATGTGTGCTCTTAAAAAAATAAATATAAAATAAATTTGATGCGTGAAACACATACAATTCTGTGAATCAATGTATTTAGAAGTCTTTCGATTAGTAATGCAGCACAAGATTCTTGTATCTATTCATTAAAAGATCAGATTCAGTCTCTCTGAATGTAGAAAGAATAATCACATTATCTTACCAGCCACGGCTCGGCTAATATATGTATATGGATTCAGCACAGTGTCTGTGAAGTATTACAATAAGTGAATTCTTTATTAACAGTTCAACAAAGTCAGCAGTGGCTATTGTCATTACAACTTCCAGTGCAGGACGACCCCTCCTCAGCCTATTATTTCCCCTCCATTGACCTTCAGTGAAGACTTTCCACACTTAACGAAAGTACTCTTATAGTCCTAGAAGTGGTTTTTCACCATCCTGGTTTTTTTCACCAACCAAAGCTGTTTTGATCAGCTTTCTAATCAGATCCTACTTCAGATTCAAGAGGAGACTAAAACTGACCATGAAAAAGACCATTGGGTTACATAAGTGCTTCCCTCTCAGCAGCATCCTGAACTTTGAGGAGTCTTTCTTTTGCTGCCTCTCATGGCAGCACTATGAAATCCAGAAATCAAATCTTAACACAGGCAAATAAGAATGCAATGATGGGCAGCCAGATCCAAAAAAATTCATATCCTCATAAGAGGAATCATAGTTGGATGGCATCAGCTCCTTCTCTGGGGAGGGAATGTTTCCATTTACATTTAATTCTATTATCCACAATAGGGTTACAAATAAGAGGTCAAGGATGACAAACAAGCAGAAAGACCTTACACAACACTGGATACACGTGTCTTCTCCTTTCCTTCTTAAGACTCAATCCTGGCCTTGAGTTGCTCAGGGTGGATCTAACAGACACTGTGCCATGCTTGAGTGCTGTGGCTCCCACTGAGTGGGTTCTCCATGTGTTCTGGCAGATGGCTCACCTCCAGGTGGGGCCTTTTCCCTGCTCCCCATTCCCTAGAGAAAAGAAATCTCAACGGATGGTTCTGAGACTGGCCTCTACCGGTGGCCCAGGACTAGTGGCTCTGCAGTCTGACCAGGTAGTGGGCCTTCTTGGGCAGCGGGTGGGCCCTAAATAAAACTGTCACATATATTGGTGCAATGAACTGCAGGTTCATCTGTGCATTATATAACAACCTTCTTTCCTCTAGTGCCTGGGACCAGATGGCTAAGCAAATAAGTAAATTACAACCAAGTCTGTTCCAATGTTATGACTGCGGAATCTGAGATAATTCCTTTAATCAGCCTTCCAAAGAGTTGAGTCTCCTTTGTGTCCTGACCTAGAAGTGGTTATCTTTCACCAGGACTTTCAGAGTCCTTTGGTGATAAAAGACTTTCAGTATCAGTGAATAAGTTTTATTTCTGAATTTTCTGGAGGTGAGTTAATGAAAACCTCTGGGTCCCATTTCACTGTGGAAATAACTGATGCCATTTAAGAACTGTTGAAGAATTTGGGAGAAAAATATAAAGCCATATCAGGGTTTTGGTTTAAAATAGAGATTTCAAAATAAGCCAACTTATTAGAATGCAAAAGGGAACTTCAAAACTCAAATTCCCAACCCATAACCTTTTTTTTCCCCAGACAGCCAGACGTTCATCTTCCTTTCTCATTAAAAATATCAAGTACTGGGGCCGGCCCAGTGGTGCAGTGGTTAAGTGCACATATTCCACTCTGGCAGCCTGGGGTTCGCCGGTTCGGATCCCGGGTGCGGATACGGCACCGTTTGGCATGCCATGCTGTGGGAGGCATCCCACATATAGAGTAGAGGAAAATGGGCATGGATGTTAGCTCAGGGCCAGTCTTCCTCAGCAAAAAGAGGAGGATTGGCAGTAGTTAGGGCTAATCTTCCTCAAAAAAAAAAACAAAATGAAACAAAACAAAAGAGTGACAGGTACAGTTGTAAAATGTTATTTTATGATAATTTATTCTAAATCACTATTCTCTAAACATAATGATTTAGAAAATTGCAATTACTAAGGAAACATAAAATAACATCTACAAAGTGTTTACAACAAGTAAAAAATATACGTATGTGTATAGATGAGGTACAGAGGAGTCACAGGTGACTTTTATTTTTCGGTAAAGTTGTTTGTAAGAGCCTTAGAATGAAATCATAGAATTTTCTATCTAAATACCTTACTGAGGATAGAGGTTGGTAACTTCCCAAGGTTCACCTCGTTTATGACAGGTGCTGCTTAGAATCCACATCCCTACATTCTCATCCTAATATTCTTTCAAGTATTTTCTTGATTTCACTTTTTAAAAGTAAAGGTTACTTTTTGGGAATAATAAAAGAAATCACAACCAATTATCATAAACTTAAATAAACATTAGAGGCAGTTTATAAAATATTTGTCAAGATTGTGGACTCTGGAATAAAGTAAAATACAGCCTAAGCACAACTTCAACATTTACCACCTGTGAGACCTAAACCTTTCTGAACCTCAACTTCCTCACTGGGAAAATAAGGACATTATAATATAATAGCATGTGGTAGAAAAATGGATGAAGGCAAATTTCTCTCCTGCTTGCATGACATTGTTTCCAGCCTGAAGACCTTAAGGAAAAGGAGGGTAAACTCAGGCTTCTCTGTTAAATATGTTAATAAACAAACACTAAAAGCAAACCACATATCTGATAAGGGGTTAGGATCCAAAATAAATAAGAAACTCATACATCTCAACAGCAAAACCAATCTGATTGAAAAATGTACAGAGGAACTGAATAGACATTTTTCCAAATAAGACACACAGAAGGCCAACAAATACATGAAAAAGTAATCAACATCACTGATCATTAAGGACATGCAAATCAAAACCGCAATGAGATATCATCTCACATCTG